CCGCCCCGCACGCAGCAGGAGCAGCGGTACGTGGGCCCGGTGGGCCCCCAGCAGCTCATGGCCAGCATGCACCTACAGAAACTCAACACCCAGTACCAGGGTCACCCGCTGGGAATGAGCAAGGAGCCCCTGGGAGCTGGTGCCCAGCAGTACCGAGCGGGGCCGGGCCAGCACCCCGGCATGCAGCACATGCCCCCGCCGGCACTCACCTTGAATGTTATGGACGCTGATCTCGTAGATGAGGAGGTCTTGACATCCCTTGTCCTGGAACTGGGGTTGGACCGGATTCAGGAGCTGCCAGAGCTATTCTTGGGACAGAACGAGTTCGACTTCGTTTCAGACTTTGTTAGCAAACAGCAGCCCAGTGCCATCAGCTGCTGAGGGGCTTTGAGCTCCTCCTTGTGTCTCGGTGGTTTTGTTTCTAACTTCCTTGTCCACCTGCCATCCTCCTCCCTTCCCTGCCGTGCCCTGTCCTGGATTCCTGAGGCAATCATTGGACACTGGCTTTTCTCTTCTGTGTGTTTTTTCATTTGTGAGTTCCTGTGGAGGGATGTGTACCCCAAACAGGAGCAGATCAAGAGCTCTTGCTGTAGAGCTGCCTCTAAATGGCATTAACAGGATTTCTGGCTTAAGTAGAAATAATGGATTTAGGACTTTCCTCAACCAGGCTTGGAGTGCAGGAAGCAATGGGCAGCTGGCAGCCCTGCTGGAAGCTGGATTTGCTCAAGGGTTCTGTGGTGCCAGTGAAGTTAAAGGATTCCCTGAGAGGTGATTGTCTCCCTGGTGCATGGTTTGAACTGGTTTCCCCTTGCAAACACAGATATTTGTTGGGACTTTTTACTGTGACAGCAAATAGGTCTTCAGTCTTGCCTGTTCAGCTCAGGATGGGGGCACTTCCCTCCAGCAGGCGTTTTACGAACTGGCTGAGCAAAATCAAGTGTGCCTTGAGGGAGGGTGTGCATACGTGCCTAAGTGTTCATCTCCGTGGAACTTGGGATCTCTGACCTCTACAGCTTAATCAACTGTAAAATTTACAAAGTGAGGCTGATTCAGGCATGAGGCTTAAAGCTGCAGTCTAGCTCCACTTTTTTTTTCCACCTCTGAAACCAAATAAAGACCATGTAACTGTATATTCCAGATCTAATCTTATTTATTATTATTTTTTTCCTATGATTATTTATTTGCAAGGGCTTCTTGTGTTATTTGGCTTTGGGACTGCTGGGAAGGATGCATGGAGAGTACTGCAGCTTTAAGATGCTGCCTTCGAAAAAAAACCAGCCTGACATAGTTCTCAAGCTGCTCTGCAGTAGCTGCTTTGACCTGAATCTTTATGCTGAACACATAGGACTGTAAATCCAAAACCTTCCTGGATGTGATAAAGATGACTGGATTTCTAATTCCCTTACTCAGAGAAGGTCAAATGTAAAACCTAGTGGGGTTTTGTTTCCTCTGCTGTCTCTCCTTTCCAGGCACCAAAGCTCCCGACAACTCCGGGTTGCTGCTGCCCCCTGCTGCTGCCAGCCCCTGGCAGCTCCCACTCACCAATCGGAAGAGAATGTACAGATGAATTTGCAAATAAAAGCTGAAATCTCCAGTGTGCATTTGTTTAGTGCTTGTCTCCAGCCCAGGAGCAGGGCAGTGCTGAGCACCGGGAGAAATTTTTTCCTCACTCCTGTTGGGCTGTGGATCCAGTTGTGAAATGTCTCCCACCTGACACTTGAATTGGAAGGATTGTGTTTCTAGTTTAATGCCTGGACTGAGTCAACCCTCCCAAGTGTGGCTGGGAGGATGAGGTGCTCCTCCTTTGCACGGAGGGAACGTTCCTGGTGAGGCCGGTGCTGCCCGGTTGCTGCTCCAGGGCTCGGACACGCGGGTGGTGACTCCTCACCCTGCTGCAAACCCAGGGCAGCCCTGGCAGGCTGGGTTTTGGCTCTGCTAGGTGCCCTCTGCTGCGGTTTTCTGTGCCACAAAGACTATAAAACCTAGACAGCCTTTGATCTTCTGCTCTTCCAGAGGCTGAGTTTTTCTTTGGTGTCCCTTTCCTGCCCTGTAGCAATGGGGCTGTGGGTGCTGGCATTGGAGTGGCTGGATTGTCTGTCATTGTCCCTTGGCCTTGTTTCTCACACAACTTGGGAGCAATTGTTAAAGTCCTGTTCTGTCCTGGTGCCTGTGCCATCTGGAGAGCTGGTCAAATAGGAAATGGCAGAGACTGTGCTGCAGGTGAGAGCCCTGCCTGGGCTGCCAGCTCTGTGGGGAGGGGCTGCTTGAGACTTGGAAGAGCTTTGCTTTCTCTGTGCATCTGCAGCACAGCAGATGGCTCTGTTGTAGAAAAGCAGTGAGGAGCTGGCAACTGGATTTATTCTTTCTAGCAAAAGAAGTGAACCCCAACATGAAGAGGCATGTTCTAACCTGACAGTTGTTGTGGGGGGTGCAGAACTGTCACCATTGTGACCTCCAGTGGCCTAGCTATGAGTGGGAGTCACTTCCAACCCACAGATGCAAGATTGTCAACATTAGCAATTTCCACAGAGGTTTCCCAGAACAGGAACATGTTTCTCTCTATGAAGCACTTGGCATTTGAGCAAACATGTCTGTACATCCTTTTAGAGAGGTGCAGTGCACTGGGAAAGAGGCTGTTGATTTAAGTTGGAGCTAGGAAGTTAATATTACCAGAGATGTGGTGTGACTGGGGGGTCCAAACCAGAGTTTTCCTGGGAGTCTGTCCTAGCAGGCTCAGCTAAGCTTGTTTCCATGTCAGCTTTCCTACAAATGCAAACTCCTGAGCAG